CATTAGGTGCCACTTCACTGCGCTCTGGCACGGCGAGCGTCACAAACAGAAGAAGAGCGCGCGGCGTGAGGCCAACAATAACGCAGCGCGATTCAGCATCAACTGTCCGCCATTTCTCCTCCTGATAACGTATATTTACACTTCGGCACACGAAAATATTTGCTTATTCAATTAACGGAGGATGTTTATTCACGCAATTTTTCCGTATTCGAATGAATCCGGCGGTATATACAAGTGCAGGAGGGCCACAGGCCTGCCCACCTTCTACGTTTCGGCCTATTATATTCTGGTGCAATTTTTTTTTCTGTTATGGAAGTGCATTTACTAACGTCATTGCGTCTATTTGTACCCTCTTATGTCGGTATATATCAATTAAATACCCGCTGAACAGAGTTCCACAGAATTTGATTAGGGAGTTTACTAAAATACGTCTATTCATTGCAATTTTTGGCTAGAAACAGAAAAGAATAACTGGCAATTTTCTCGTATCCCGACCGTAGCTCACTAAGTGTTTATCGTAGTGGATCCCTGGACGCTTCCATCATGCGTCTGGGACAGCAAGAGCAGCCTTCTACCATAGCGTCGCTTGTTGGATGTCGCTGACAACTGCTTGAAGAGCGGGAATAGTTCTCAACTTCTGAAGGGAACTTCCACTTACTCTCTATTCAAACTGACCAATGGAGGCAAGAAAATGAAGTTGCAGACTTCCGAGCCTGATTCACAACACGCAATGCCTCTCGCTCCTAAGCGCCGTAGCGTTGGAATACTGCGTTATGTATCATATCTCCAACTACGGGGCAGAATACTACTTGCATAGGTGCTCAGCTAGTCAAGAAAATCCGCGTCTCGCACAGAACCTCCTTGGCATGACCTGTCACGGATCCCTAACCTTGGCCACATGAATCCAATCCACAATCACCCATCTGATACCTAACCGAAATAAAATAAACAGTTATTTAATATTGTAACGGATTTGATCAACGCTTTGTCAGGCAACAGCTTTGTAAATACGGTCCAACACGCAGCAGTAGAGGAGGTTGTATTTCCCGTGTCCGCCGGTGACGTCACGCAGCGGTGGGTTGTGGTCACGTGACATGTATTTCCTGTGATCCGTTCCTCGGCTATATAAGTGAGAGAATTCGTTCGGTTCAGTAACGAGTCAGTTCTCGGTAGGAGATAGGTACGGGAAATTCGTAGTTGAAGAAGAGTACAATAAGCCAAGCTGTGAAGATTTAACGTGTGATTTTAAGACTTTATGTGTGCTGCAGCACAGTGATATTGGGAGTGTGTGGTTCAGTGACACTGTTACAGTTCCTGTTATAAATCCGTGAGGTCTAGTGCAGATAAACTGAGAAAATTAGGTGTAGAATTATTGTAAATTGTGTAAATCAGTAATATTTTTAAAATTATTTGTAGTTATGACCTGTAAGTATCCAATAACTCCAATTATCAATACAAACCCGAGTCTCAGTCACTGTTACACGTGACAATATTATCTTCCCATTGTGTTCTAGATCTTCCTAGGTCTCTTATTTTGAAGATTTCCGACCCCATATTATGAGAGCGCAACCACAACGTTTTATTTGTTACAGCCATTTTCATCCGATACATATATTTTTTTCATTCTCTCCTTGAACAAGTTGCATAGGCCCTGGTTTCTCAGAAGAAATGCGTCGGTACTAGGAAACGGCCCGTTGAGATCAAAGGTAAATTGAAGATATTGATAACTAACATAAATCGTGAAGAATTCTAACTTCTGGGATATAATGATATGTAGTCCGTTGAAAGTCAACAGACGTTTAGGAGGAACATGTCTCCTCCATCTTCAGGGCAGAAGAGTAAGCCAAGATAGAAACCAGCGCGAGAGAATATTGCAGAAGCGACATGTTCCGCCGTAAGGTCGGTTAACTTTCAGCGGACTACACAGTGTTATAACCGAAAAACATAGCCACAGGTCTGAGAACCTCAATTCCTGCAACTATTTAGCAATATCTACAAATTCCAGAGATACATACATCGAGTTAAAAATACGAATACGATCCGAATGAAATTATTCACACGAAAAGTTGGTGTTTAAAGGATTTAAAGAGACGTCCATTTAACTCATCAAGTGGTCAGAGTTGCTGGCTACAGAACCAGAGGCCCGGCTTCGATTCCCGGAGCTACCAGATTTTCTAAGAATTAGTGGGTCTGGAACGGGGTTCACTCAGTCTCGTGAAGATAACTGAGAAACTATTTCAAGAAAATAGCGGCTCCGGTCTAGAAAACAGAGATTAATGGCCGTGGGGAATCGTTGCCCTGATCACGCGACACTCTCTATCCTCTAAAGGTGGTACTAACTTCGCCGACAAGCGGCGGTCGCTCGGTCAGTATAGTTCGCTTGCGGACTGCAGGCCACGGAGTACCCAACAAAAACGCTGCTGTTCCAGAAATTACGAAAACCACACCGGTAAATAATATGATCTCTGTAGATGATCGATCTACATAAATGACTGTAGACGAAATCATTTCCATTTTAGGCCCAAGCACCCAGTCAAGAAGGGAGCTGCGACAGCTCAGTCGGTATAGCGACTACGCTACGGGCTGGACGATCAAGGAATCAAGATCCAATTTCCAGTGGGAACAAAATATTTGTCTCCTCTCCATAAGTTCCAGGCAAGCTCTGGATCCCACACTCCATCCTACCCTAAGGGTATTAGGAGCTGTTCACCGGGGATAAAGCGGCAGGGGTGTGAAGCTGACCACTCACCTACATCTAGTACCAAGATCAAGAAAATGTGGATCTATACATCCACTCCCCATACGCCTTCATAGCTTAGTGCTTAATTAGTTAAGCACAGGGACAACTTTACCAGTTTTAGCTTTAACTTTAATTAAAATGATTCTGCAATGTTGTAATGAGATGCTATAATCGAGAATATTTCTTTTGGCCTTTCGAGGTCATTCCGTCACCCCCCCCCCATTGCCAATCTGTAGGACTCGCCCTCGCTACCTGCTCGCCCCCACTTTCCTCAAAATATTAAGCGCTTGCAATATGGCTGCCCCTCCTTCTTTAAATCTTTTGGGGGAGATTAGATTGCTTAATAGTTTGGTATCTTGGTCTTGGGTTAGTATGTTGTTTCTGGTGGCCTTGTTAGTATGTTGTTTCTGGTGGCCTTGTTAGTATGTTGTTTCTGGTGGCCTTGTTAGTATGTTGTTTCTGGTGGCCTTGTCTTTCTTTAGATCTGCCTATACTTTGTATCTTTTCTCTTATAGACAACATGGGGCCTATTATTCTCGTGTTATTCGTGTTCTTCTGAACAAACACATTCCTTTTTCACTGTATTTGAATGTTGTAACACATTCAAAGGTTATGACCTTGAAAGGACTAAATACATCTCGGTGACTATAACAATAACAGTACAATGTAACTAAATGAGCTTCACAGGAGTACTTATACTTGGGCTGATGGGCTTTTTCTTGAAGAAAAGCAGTCGGTCCAGTCCTTCTTGTGTTTCTGGATATCTTCTTCCCTCTGGTATATTACCACTCACAGCTCTAACAATTCTGTCTTCCCTTAATCTTGATACGTGATTATCCTTCTCCTCTCGCCGTTTTAAAATCCATTCTCCTTTGGCTGTACTCCGCATTGCTGTGTAATGCCCTGACTAGTAACATGGTCTAATTTTGTTTTCCCCACTGCCTTAAAAATTTCGCTTAGTGGGGGGTGGAGTCCAACTGGGTCCACTCGGCACGGCGGCTACTGATTGGCCTATTGTACCTACCCCGGGTGATTATGATGATGGAGAATTTTGTGGAATGAAGGTTGGTAGGGGAAACCGAAGTACTCGGAGAAACCCCGCCCCAGCGCCACTTTGTCCACCACAAATCCCACTTTACTAGACCCGGGATCGAACCAGGGCTGCCGCGGTGATAAGCCAGCGACTAACCGCTTGAGCTATGGCGCGGCCTTCCCCACTGCCTTCCTCAAGGTGTTCATATCTGTGGTTTCTGATAGTTGTTCTGTTGCAGAAGTGTCCACTCTTGTCTCGACAGAATATGCAATAATTGGTCTTACGCTGATCTCTAAATTCTTGCTTTAGGGTCCTAGTTTAGATATTTATTCCTCTGTATCGTGTCCTTTAGATATCCGGATATTCTGGCTTCTTTATGGGTCAAGATGAACTTATTTAAGTCGTGTTTTAATAGAGCTACTGTAAACCAGCTTGAAATCGCTCCTCAATTGTCCTCACGAGGCTGAGTGAACCCCGTTCCAGACACACTACTTCTCAGAAAATCTGATAACGCCGAGAATCGAAACCGGAACCTCTGGCTCTGTAGCCCGGAACTCTGACCACTAGACCACAGAGACGGCCCGTTGCGCTGACCACGCGACACCCTCTATCCGCCAAAGTTGACACTAACTTCGACGACAAGAGCGGTCGCTCGGTCGGTATAGTTATCTTGCGGATTACAGGCCACGGAGTTCGTCTTTTGTTTGTAAGCCAGCTTGAACCTAACCTGAGCCCAACAAACACTCTTCAACACGTATCTGGCAATAGTGCCACGGGAAGCCTTTCTTGTCGATGTTTGTAATTAATTTAAGTTACCTCATCAAAGACAATATTATCCAGCAAATCTCAGTATTATATGGAGTTTCATTAGATTCTCCAATTTGGACCCAAATGCACCGGGGGGGAGGGATCCACCCCACATACACTTGCGTTGCTATGGGCAACCCTCTGCTATAAGGCGAGGTTTAGGGGAGAGAACACTCTAAACGTCCAATCAGAGAAAAAGGAGACCACTCCTCCATTGTGTGCATAACCAATCAAATATGATCGTATTCACCCGGACATAAGGACACATACACAGTTTTATAACAAGGGGTGGTTTAAATGGAACGTGTGTGACTGATGTAAGATTCTATATTTAACCGCCACAGTCTGGCCTGATGAAGGGGCGACGTTGTGGTAGATAACTCCCAAAGTAGCGGGAACTTCGCTTCGCGATATAATCAGTAAAAGGATGTGATTATGTCAATATTACGGCATTTCGTTAATAATCCTTCACAGACACACGTAAACAAAACCAAATTATAAACTTACTAAATTAATTAATAGAGTAAATCATTGTTAAGATTATAGACTTCTCGTGCTTCATATATAATAAAAATTTACTGTGGTGAAATGGACAAGAATAAATTAAATTACTTCAAAGTGAGACTACAAGCTGAAAGTGTCATGGGACTCCAAGCGTGAACGAGAGTATATTCCAACATTTTTGCAATGGATATTCTGCAGCAGAGAGATAAGAGATTGCAAGATGTCAGAAGCCAACATACTTCTTTCCTCATAGAAGACATTCTGTTTCGACCCAAACCTACTCTTCCTCAGGTAAGGTATAAAAGAATGAAGGTCAGCGGGTGGTGTTATCAGAGGGCCAGAACAGGATATTCTGTTAGAGTATTTAGTGCCAAATAACCTGAATATCAGTCGATATATTGTCGCCTCATGTCCTTTGCATAATAACAGGACTTCAAATCAATTAGCCTATGTAAGCTTTACTTTAACTTTTATTTTTGGTTTGATATGTATTCAAGGTAAGCCGATAACAGTGGCCGGTCTTAATGGCGGATCATTCACAACTATAAGAACAATGTTTTTCAGTCGCATCCAATATTATATAAATTCAGTATTTTATATTGTGATGTATAGACCCATTGCTGAGCCAGATAAACACCTTCCCGCGGAGACAGATTCTCGGTAAACAAGCCCGCAACAAATAAATTACCAACAATAGAGTAGATCCATTGTTCGGTAACGCCCGCAATACAGGCGTGCAACAATACCACAGATCTTGCAAGAGATGTTTTCTATGTTGGTAACCCCATGTCCATTGTTAAGCAACGACCCAGTAAGCACATTCGAGGGAATAAGCGACAATAGAGGATGGCCATTTCTACGCAGTGGACATGCTTTCTGTGCTGTGATCCGACCCGAGGCTATATATCCAGAAACCCATGTTGGCGTGACAGACCACTCACCTTCAATTAGTGCCAAGGTCAAGAAAATGTGGACCTATACATCAACGCCGCCACACGCCTTCATGGCGTAGTGTTTAATTAGTTAAGCACAGGGACAACTTTATTTTTTTTAACATTTAAACCCGTCTTTTAAATCACCCGTACACGCCACAATAGTCATAAAGTAGGCGAACATCCAGCGAACAATTTTGAATCAGCATAATAGCATAAAACGTGTAATTAAATCAACTTACTGGAGGCTAATATTACGATCCAGTAGGATAAAAGGAAACTTCTTATGTTATCATTCGGAAGCAGAGTCTAGAACGCCAACGCTCATTTTGTTTCTTTCTTTCTTTATGAATCATTTAAATGCACTGTGAGGAAGTTAGTTTAAATATAGCGTGGAGTGATAGAATGATTGGTGAACAATGAATTGTAAATGATCTGGAAGGAAGCTGTCATGACTTAATTTGAGGTACTCTACTGACGACACGAAATACCTCAGTCAAAATTGCCGGTTCCGGAAAGATACTTGAACCTTGGACCCCCCGAATCACAACTAGATGTACTAACCAACCAACCGACTGTTTCATAATATTTAATGTTGTGTTTTGAAAAATTATCACTAGATCTTATCAACTACATTGACTTAAACTTATAGGCATGTTCTCTCTCAAGTTCCAGACACTTGTCTAATTTGTTAGCCTCTCCTCCCCGACGACAATATTACAATAGTCCCAGGGATTAAATCTAGTTAGTTCACTAACTCGCCTTGCATCTGTAAAACCGCCTACTCTTAGGCTGACCTTAACTACAGAGGTGTCAGAGAAGTTTCATACCCTTCAGGCGGAAGAGAGAGCTTCTACAGAATCCTACATAGTTCCTTGCGTATGACGGACCTATGTAAAGCTATCCCTGTAACAGGCCGTGAAGGCCCATAGGGTTGTGAGACGTCGAGGTTCCCACATTTTCTTTAGACTGCGATATCCGCAGTATAATCAGCTTTGAAACAACCGATTTTCGCCTACGATAAATATATATTGAGCAAGACCAAATTAAGTTCAAAATCGTGAAGGGTGCATTCGGAAAATACGTATAGCCCGTTCTATTATGAGTAGATAACAACTTTCTACTTTACTTTTACTTTTTGCGTTTTGTAAAGTAAGTTGGTTACAATGAGTTTACTATTCGAATGGAAACAATGCAAAATCTTGAAGAATTCTGGGATGACACCGTGTAGTCTGGTAGGTATTTTTTGCCGACGGTTCAAGAACAATCTGCTTCCATTTTTAGGATAGAAACGCAATCTTCTACCTTTAAGATGGAGGCAGAAAAGTCTTCCGAAACCGCGAAAAACACCTATTAGACTACATGGCATCATACTCAAGAACACATGGGCGGTGTATTGAGAACCTCAAAGCTTACAATGCCGAAGAATAGGAACTGGAACACAACTGAGTACGGCCTATGTTCAACGTATAAAGTAAATTATATGGCGACATGTGTATCCATCTCTAGGTAACGCCTCGGTAAACAATCCCGCAATAAATACGCAACCAGCAATAGAGTAAACCTATTTCTAGGCAATGACTCCGTAAACATATTCCCGCGGCAAGGAATACGCAGAAAACAATCGGATAACTTCTGTTGCTATTTAATAGCACTGTAAATTTAACAATAGAACCGGTGTCGCAAGAAATGTTTTCTATGTGGTTCGCATATATTTATTGCTGGGCAACGACTGTGTTTTCTGTGCAGTGGTCCGACCCGTCTATATAACGAGAAGCCAACAATAATTGTCAGTTCACAATAGACAGACCCATCCTCTCATCAGAGAGGGCGCCTCACAATAACAAGACTGTAACTGTCAAACATTAATACTAGTAAATATCTGGTCATAAGATCCAGATTTGGCTCGACACCAAGACTGACTGATTGACTGGTCGTCAGTCGCAATATGACTTTGACTTTGACTTGAATTATCAGTTCAGTTGAAAGTCAATTGAAATTCGACCCTTGAAGAGAAGACTTTTTATGCGTTGTATTTACAGTGAGACTGTTATAAATCCGTTGCAAGGATACGACTAGTGAAGACTGAGAAGACTTAGCGTGTCCTAGTGATTTATGAACTGCGTAGATTAGCGACAGCGACCACACGCAAAGTTAAGAACGCAGTAACTCTCTGATAGTGTGTAACAACAGATACGGCATTCCGACATGAGACGATACTGCAGTGGCCAGGACAGGTAGAACCACTTCATGTTGGTGAACAGGCTCGTGCCAGGTAGCGGAAAGGTTCGCACCAATGCCCTAACTAAGAAACCGTCTCTGTCGAAAAGGGCATTCGATCAGGCTCAACATTTAATCAGCTGCTCATGATTAAGAGAGAACTTGCACCTCAGAAATTAATGGAATCCTGGAGAGAAACGCATAACTACGAGAGCCTTAACCAGACACTATTAAGAAAGCTGTCCCTGTAAGAGGCCGTGGAGGCCCACAGCGGTGTGAGAGATCGAGGCCCCCTCATCTTCTAAGACAATCAGCTCACAGATTGCGGTGAGATTGTCAGCCTTACGCGCCGGCCGCCTTTAACACCCCAGGAAATTTCCTGGTACTCATTTCTGTTAAAGGCTGAGTCGACCCCAGGACCATAATGCAGCTGGAAGGATTAGGTCAATTGAAAAAAATCAATGACACCGGGAATCGAATCCGCGACTTTCCGGCTTGTAGCATAGGACCTCAACCAACTACGCTACTGTGTGCCTCCTCCAAATACTATTAACTTAAGGGTAAATTTGCCCCGCTTAATTAAGCACTGCGCCACGAAGACTCGTCTAGGAATTGAGACACATCACCACTCTTGACCTCGGCACTAGATGGTAAGTGGTGAGCTTCACGTCCCGGCCGCTTTACCCCTGGGATAGAGCCCCGCCTTCCGGTATCTGCTGGAAAGGATAAATACAGAAATGGTCTTGATACTGCCGGGAATCGAACCTCGGCCGCCCAGCCCATAGCCCGCCTCTATAGGTAAGAGAATGAGGTCTGCCGGATATGAAACAAGTGAGAATGCATACTATCAAGTTCTGATAGGAAACTCTGAAGGTAAGAGAAACATTTTCGCAAGCCAGAATTGAGTTTTAATGCTAACCCATACTGTTGAGTGATTAAGTCTTTCGTTCTAGGTCCCGATTATGGGTCCGGCGTTGAGTCGTGGCTCCTCTGTGCTGTCCAATGGCTACTACATGCTGCACGCTGCCTATCTTCATCCTGCAGCTCATCCCTACCTGCACAAAGCGGAGCCCTTCTTCCAGACGCCAGGTAGGTATGTGACCCCAATCGCACACGGGAGACGAGAGAAGCATCTGGCCATGTCATGAGGATATTAAGTTTAGTTGTAAATTAAAGGGAGATTTTTATATTTCCCATATCTAGCCACAGTCTTTACAGATAGCCATGCCCTAGATTCGCTCACACATCCTTTGAGGTGCACTCTGAAATCTCGACTTGATAGAATCTGCATGCTATTAACTCCACAATTTCTGGAACAGAGCTCATAATAATAATAATAATATATTAAATTATTTGATTCGATAGTTCAGGGCACGATTACAGCAATACAGAAACACGAACAGAAGAAAAAACGGAAGAACAGAATAAAATAAAAAAATACATTAATATCATGTAAACTGAAATGTATTTTTCCAGAAGTATCAATAGGCTTACGAACTGAATTTGCAGTTACGTGACTAATAATAATGGGTTCTGGATTTGATTATTGTATTTATTGGCATTTCTTTACAATTCTAGTCGATAACAGCTTACACATTGAACTCCTCCTGCACGACGTCTGTCTGATGAATCTCTCCTCTTCTCGAATTCATGAATGAACTCCTTTTTAACTGCCACGCGGCCCAAATATACGTCACAATATCGAACAGTTAATTGTCCTCTATTATTCTGTTTGTTGTCACGGTAATTCCTTTGTCAATATTCATTGCCGCTGAAACCTTTGCCTAGCAAAATTACTTCTGCTCTGCTGCTATTCAGACTTTTAGGCAGTGTTTACCGAGCCGTTGCCTAATAGATGGTCGTATTCCGTCGCAGTATATTCTGAGCAGAAATTCGAATGGCTACTATTTCTACAACACAAGGATAAGACTTAGTGGAAATATATACATTTACTGAAAACAAGAATTTGTGGGACGAAATAATCGACCACGTTTCTTTAATGGGACACGGACAACATAGAAAACCAAAAAATAGGAAGGGTCTCAGACAGTACGGTGATCTCATAAGCCTTTCATTCTTTCAAAATAAGGAACATAGGCTAATAATGAATCTAAGTTACAACATACAAGTATGCTATTCAGTGATTGCGGACTTAGTACTTTAAACAAAACAAAAAAAAAGATGAAGCCGTGCTTATTCTTACTTAAGCAGTAGGCCATGAAGACGTATGGGGAAGTTGACGTATAGCTCCAGAATTCTTGACCTCGGAAATAGGTGGAGGCGAATGGTCAGCTTTACAAAGTAGCAACTTTATCCCCGGGGCAAGAACCCCCCTTAACCACCGGATATGAGGCTGGGTGAGGTCCAGAGCCGTTCTGAGATCTGTGCATTGGAGAAAAAAAACACTCGCTCTGCAGGAAATCGAACCCCAGCCTTCCAACCCGTAACCCGAAACTACACCGACTGAAATATCCCTGCTCTATAGCTCATGGGTATTTTTTATAAAACGTGTTTAAATTGCGAAAGTGAGTTCTCTCTCGAGTGTGATTACTGACAAAGTGAAATCACTATAATGAAGTTGCTATTGCCACTGAAACAAGGCAAATGCCTTGCAAGATCTTTCTTACTGCTAAACCCTTTGTGTCCTTGCTAGTTTCCGGTCTAGATACCCGAGATTAACGGCCGTGGGGATCCGTTGCGCTGACCACGCGACACCCTCTATCCGCTAACGTTGGCACTAACTTCGTCGACAAGCGGCGGTCGCTCGGTCGGCATAGTTCGCTCGCGGACTAAAACCACGGAGTATTAGTATTAGTATTCTACTTGTCTGCGCAGGTCTAGGTTTCGGCGGCCTGTTTGCGGGCGACGCTGGAGATATGGGGGCCAAGCACTGTCGGCGGCGGAAGGCGAGGACAGTGTTCTCGGACCACCAGCTGATGGGCTTGGAAAAGCGGTTCGAGTCTCAACGGTACCTCTCCACACCAGAGCGTGTGGAGCTGGCGAATGCTCTCAAACTCTCGGAGACTCAGGTGAGAATGAGATGGAAACCGGGAAAGAATGCTGAGAAACCTAGGAAAAGGCTCAGTTAAGGCTGACGCCAGGCTGAATTTGTACTAACTTGAAAACCAGGGAAGATTATTGAGTAAAGGATGTCAGGCTCTGGTAAAACTGATGTAAGACTCACTTGGCAATATCATAAGGCTCAGATGAGATTACACAGATGACCAGATTCAAACGGAAAATATGATGAGGCTCGGGTAAGATTGAAGTTAAACTGATATCTTAACCTAATCATAGTGAACTGGCACGACATACTGGGAGCGACAGAGAAAATATGAGGTCCAAATGAGACTTGGATGAGGTTAAAACGAAGTTAAGGGTAAGGTGATACAAAGGTGAGACGGGCTTAGCATGTGGCTCAGATAGGGATGTTTCCAGTTTCAGGTAGTATTGGTTTAGGGCTCGGGTAAGTATGGTTTGGGGTTGGGAAAAACTTCGGGTTCAGGTGAGAAGAATATTTAACATGGATGAGGGCCAGAGAAGATCAGAGGCACCAGTTCAATAGAAGAACAACATAATATCAAAGAAACAGATCAATACTTTCTGTGTGGGGGGGGGGAGTGCATGTTGAAACCCCGTTTTCAGAAAGGGCACAATTGAAATCAAGGGAATACTGACATGACAAAGTGTGATTAAGGGAATAGTTGTGATGAAGGAACAAACATACATGTCAACATCGAAGGTGATATAAAAATGTGTGTAATAAAATTAAATACTTATGCAATATTAGTAAAACTGAAATTTACTTTAAATAATTATTAAGACAACTTTAAAAGGTAACTAATATTTATTAAAAACCACTATAAGCTCCGACCTCATGGATCACTATTATATGATATATTATCAGAAAATCTATCACTGAATTGTAAAGATAAAAAAAAGGTAAGTTTGTTCCTGGACTTAACTAATTAAGCACTACGCCATGAAGGCCTATAGTGGAGTGGATGTATGGATCCACATTTTCTTGGCCTCGGAACTTTTTGGAGGTGAGTGGTCAGCTTCATTCCCCGGCCGTTTTACCCCCGGGGAAAGAGTCCCCGGTACCCAATGGATAGGAAGCTGTGTGGGCTCAGAGTCGGTGTGGACCACGTGGAAAACAAAAAATGTTTGACCCTAACGAGGCTCGAACTCCGACCCCTCGGTCGTCCAGTCCGTAGCCAGCCGCTATGCCTAATTAGCTATCCCGGTTCTACCATCACTAAAATGCCGTTACCTTTTTCTACCTTATTGAAAATCTGGATCCGGTACTGTAACAGGTTTACATTATTTTCTATATATTAAAACTTGACATATATTATAAATATTTCCAAAGAAAATTGTGTGAATTAATACTAATTGCTAATACAACGATTATAGAAACAGCAAAGAACTAATAATAACTTCCTTGAAGGGACTGAGGCAAACCGCTAAAAATTCTCGGTCAGGCTGGTCGAAAATCGAATCTCCTGAATGCAGTTCCCAAGGGTTTCTGCTTAAGGCAGCCTGCTCGGTGTCGTAACCCAGAAGCTACAAGAGCGATTCGTTAAAGATGCGACACCTTAACTCCCCGTCCCTTACTTCGCTGAAATGAAGTAGCGACACGCCACTAACCGCCATGAACGGAAACGTTTCTGTGTCCAGGTGAAGACATGGTTCCAGAACCGCCGCATGAAACACAAGAAGCAGCTGAGGAAGCTGAATGAGGACGCCAAGTACAGCAACGCAGAGAGAGCCACTTCCGGTGAGTACAGTGGCGTGCTGCTTTCTTCCTTCATACACAATTTATACAACAATGTTACTTGCTTTAGGTACGTTTCGCCTGTAAGGCACGCCATGTCCGTTCGCCTTTCCTGACGTAACAGCATCAAACTCCCCTAACAGACTTACATTAAATTCGGGCGTTACAATCCTGTAATTAATTTTGTCCACCTGTATTTACTTTGGATTAATTTGGATCTATTTTAAAGATTAATTTAATTAAAGGTCTAAATGAACAATTACTAATGTCTATTGCGCGCTTTGACAAATTATGATAAAACATAAAATTAAGAATTTTTAATACACGAGTTACCATATTATTTTACAATATACACGTAATATCAACAAATTTTTTTTATTGCTAGTGGGGTGGGACTAAGTCCCTTGTACTGCGGCCGCTTCTGGCCTATTGTACCAGCCCCAGATGATAGGTGAGGGTGATTGTGGGGCAATTGGTGGAAGGAAGATTGGCAGGGGAAACCGAAGTATTCGGAGAAAACCTGCCCCAGCGCCACTTTGTCCACCACAAACCCCACTTGACAAGACAGGGATCGAACCAGGGCCGCCGCGGTGGAAAGCCAGCTACTAACCGCTTGAGCTATGGCGCGGCCAATCAACAAAGCTTAATAAATCATGCATTTATTTCTTTACATGACTGATTTGGCACTTGGGCCATCAGCAGAACCTCACTTAGGAATCGCATTGTGTACATCAGCCACTGTTTACATACTTGTATTTTTAATATTTGTCTATATAATAATTAATATCGTTTTACATTTTGTTTAAATTTCGGCAGTTTCGAATTTAGTCTTTGAAAAGGACTAAAGTAATAATTGTACGTCTAATTGTTTGTGTCACTTTTTTAAAGACTTTTCTTCATTCTTGTTTATTTTTCATTTACTGCGTCGATACAATTCAAATTAATATTATTCTTCTGCATTTTGATTGCGATTTTAATAACAAGTGTTATCCCTTCCAAATTCATTATTTATTATGGTCTCATTAGCTTTCATTCATTTTCACTTAAGTACCAACAAATGCTTTTGGTATATCCCACTATGTATCCACCTAAGATAAAACCATTAAAATACAAGTTTGTAATAAACTATAAAATATATAAGACGACCGCCCCTGTGATCTAGTGGTCAGAGTTCCTGGCTACAGATCCAGAGGTCCCGGGTTCGATTAACGGCGCTACTAGATTTTCTGAGAAATAATGGATTTGGAATGGGATCTACTCAGCCTCATGAGGATAATTGAGGAGCTATTTCAAGGAAATAGCTTCTTGTGGCGACAGCTAACCTAACTACATATAGTACTTGCATACAAATCTCCTATTTAGTGTTGCCTAACAAGTGTCCGTCATCTAGAGCGACGCCCGGCATCCTCATGTCGCCTCGTCATTTAGCTGATCCCCGCTTAATTTGTAATGCACTGCTTATACATAGAAAACATACAGACGCCATGCGTAAAGTAACCAAACAAAACAAACTCCGTGGCCTGTAGTCCGCAAGCGAACTATACCGACCGAGCGACGCCGCTTGTCGGCGAAGTTAGTGCCAACTTTTGCCGATATAGGGTGTCACGTGTTCAGCGCAACGGATCCCCACAGCCGTTAATCTGTTTTATAGACCGGAGCCGCTATTTCCTTGAACTAGCTCCTCAATTACACTCACGAGGCTGAGTGGACCCCGTTTCAGACCCACTACTTCTCAGAGTGTAAACTAACCATACCTGATTAATGCTACACCAGGGGGAAAACTGCCCATTTTTCATTAGGCTGTTTCAAAATCTAATCTTGGGGATAAAGCTACAGCCACCAGACGAAAGTGAGTAGGCAGGTTCCAATTTATCCCCGGCACCTGTTGTCGTACACAGCCTCCTTCATTAAAATGTTGCAACACAATACTTACTGCTGTTACCAAGTACTGGATTTCTCCACAGTCTGAGACACACGCCTGTTTGTAACTGATTTTGCACTGGCTTTAACAAAACAATCGTCGAAAGTTGTCCCAGTGGCCGCGCGGGCTAATGAATATACTGTCTTCGCTCGCTTGAACACTGGGATCGTGGGTTCGAATTCCACTCGAGGCATTGATGTTTGTGTGCGTTTATTCTGTGTCTTTGTTGTTCCGTGTGTAGGTAGCGGCCTTGCGACGGGCTGATCCCCGTCGAAGGAGTCCTGCTATTTAACTGCTGGTCACTCCTCTAGTGGGGGTGACTGGAGCGGACACTCGCGCTTGAACTGACCAACTCCATACACACACACACACACACATCTCTCACTCCAGCGCTCGGAACAACTAACCGCCTTTCTTTGCGTCACGTAGGCATTTTGAGTATTTAAAATGGCATGGCTCTCATAGAAATCACGGCGTTAAAGAGTTCTGTTATTGCGTTTGTATTAGTTTCCTTGGGGACGTGTTGACTGAGCCGTCGCCAAGCAAAGGCCGTCTCTTCTGGCTCCAGTATTCCGACTTTCATACGTTGGGATAGGACACAGGAACATAGACAGTAGGGTGACAAGCCCCCTTTCATTTTTGAAAATAAGGAAATTAGGCTAAAAACAGATGCCACTAAGGGAGCACTTGCAACACTTGATGGCCTACCGAACTCTGTCCTGTTGATGCTGATTCATATTCGATTGATCGGAGGTGAGACCACCAAGGCCTTATCACCGGCACGCACTGAATTGTTACCAAGATAAGCATTCGTTTATCACACGGTTTTGTACATTATCTAGGAAATAGTTTAGTGTTAGTTGTAACATAAAGATTAAGCAGTTCATGGCCTGAATGGGGTGCCGCAGTGCGACGGCCGCAGTATCAGAACAACAGTTTCAACCCATTTCTACATAGTCTGTGCATATTATTGAGCTCAACGTGACGCTCATTCCTGCGGTATAATGCCTTTGAAATGTCCTCATAATTTTTAATAAATTTTACTAAATATTTAACCACATTATGGGCAGTCATACCTGTTTTACCTGTCGTCTCCCAGCCCTCAGTGTCACTGAGTACAGGAGGGAAAAATTAGTTTCGTAATATAGACCTAAAAGTGTATGTTTTAATTTTGTTAGAAAACCGTACAAATAAATAGGACAGCGTCAGAATTTGTGCTGTGTGGTTGGAATGTGCAAGGCGACTACAAGGGGATTTAATTAATTTGGGATACTACGTCAATGCGGCTGTACTGGAATAAGATTAGTTGCATTTTTTTCGTTTTTCACGGCATAGAAATATTGATCGCTTAATGGAAGGACACATGTGAAATCCTGCTGCCTCGTCTCAGCTCACAAACCACTTAAAAGGCCTCGGTTTTCGTATTGAAAATCTACTTTAAAATTTGTCAGGCGGATTCCATTATTGTCCCTATAGATCTGCCATAGGGATAAACTCTACTTCTAAGCCTACATAGAACCAAATTAGGAGCACTGATTGTGCTGAAAACTAGAACAGATAGCAGACAAAATATAGGCCTATACAATATTAATCCTTTATAACCTAATGGTTTCATATGTGCCACCTGCTCTAATAAACAGAACTCAACATTCTGCCTACAGAGTGTATATGTGCATTTCGTTCGATTCTGACAAAAAACAGCCGATTTTTTTCTTAGCGCAGTCGATATAGCGACTGGCTGCGGGCTGGACGACCGAGGGGTCGGAGGTCGAGTCCCGGTAGGGTCAAGAATTTTCTCTTTTCCATGTCATCCAGACCGAACCTGGGGACAACCCAGCCTCCTATTCAATAGGTACGAAGTGTAAAGCGGCAGGGACGTGAAGCTGACCACTCACCTCCAACTAGTGCCAAGGTCAAGAAAATGTGGATCTACATATATATCTACTCCCCCTTACGCCTTCATGGCGTAGTGCAAAATTAAACACAGGGATAACTTTACATATTTCATTATCTTTAATACTGAGCATTTGGCATTTCTAAAGAGTTAAAGTTTTTGCTAGAAATATATTTCAAATTCTGTAGGACTACGAATATTTAACGAAATAAAGAAGTAAATAACGCACCACTCCAATTCCGTATCGATATAATTGGTGAATCGTATCTGCAGAGATGTCAGTGGTGGACAGGAGAACAGGTACTCATGAATTATCGCAACAAAACACTTCCGAGAGGAGTTCTGTCTCCTGGGATGTATCGGCGTGAAGTCCATTGAAAGCCAACCGACATTTCGATCGAAACACATAAAGTAAATCTTTGCTTGCTAGTCTCTTGCTTGGCTTACTATTCAACATTGAAGACGTGGGTGGCATGGTCCTCTGAAACGTCAGTTGACTTTCAACGGACTACACGGAGTCATACTCCAGAAGATACGACTCTTCATAACTACCACTGCGAGAACCTCAAACACAAAAATGTTGAGAAACCCTGTCACGTGACTTCGAGAGAGTGTGTCATCGAACGTGTTGGTTCACTCAAGTTCGGGAAGGGTTTTATTCGCAATTCAGCCAGGACACCAGCAATAATTTAATTGTTTTCTCAGCATCTCTTGAGAAATCATGGATTATACTTATGTTAGGTCCAAAATTATGCACAGTGAGATATCTCTAGAACGTAAACTGCAACGGGAGGCAACCTTCAGAAAATATACGTACTTTGCTTTCAAGCTGCTACTTCTACTGAAGTAAAGTAAAGTTGTCCCTGTAATTAACGAATTAAGCCATGAAGGCGTATATGGGAGTGGCTGTATAGTTCCACATTTTCTTGACCTCGACTCTAGTTTAAGATGAGTGGTCAGCTTCACGCCCCGGCAGCTTTACTCCGAGGAAAGACCTCAGGTCTGAACGACTTGGAGAAGAGAAAATTCTTGACCGTAACGGTACTTNTGTAGTGCTTAATTAGTCAAGCACAGGGATAACTAAACTAATTACTACTACCACTAACATCAACAATAAAAAATCTGTAATATAATTTTAATAAGTCGAGTAATACAACACATTTTGTAGTTCAGACAGGACTGGACATG